AATCTACGCTTAACAGTAGGATTTCTGACTGGCCACTGTCAACTAAGGAAACACCTCCACAATATGGGGCTAGTAGACACACCTCTATGCAGGATGTGTGAACAGGAAGATGAGACTGTTAGGCATGTCAAATGCGACTTTCCGGAGTAATCATCAATAAGAGAGTGTGTGTTTGGTGAGTCTTGGCCTACACCTGCCGATATAAAGGAGGTGTCTCCCAGAGACCTGTCCACCTTCCAGGAAAGGACAGAATGGACGATGACCTAGGAGGATACCTCCTCGGGAGTATGTACAGTGGGTTACATGTGGGCCTAAGTGATGTGAGCTTACACTCACCCTCCCTACTCTACAGATACAGATACAGGTGTTCAATGTTTTGTTCTTGTTCGATTGACGACCTGCTTATTTTGTAGAAATTCATATTGACTATAGGATAAAGAAAATAACTTTTGTCTAATTTNATTAAGTACCATCTGTATTCGAAAGTTCACTTGAGAATGGTCTCATAAACCGAAACCGATCGTAACAGATAATGAACTCAGTATAAATTAGAAAAAAGTTATTTTCTTTATCCTACGTTCCATGTTTGTTTGGCAAAGCTAAAAGCAATGCCGATGACAGGTTCTGGTCCGATAAAACCGCTTGCAGCACCCTCCTTTGCATGGGAGTCAGCAGCCTCATTGCCTTCTAGGGCAGTATGGCCAGTTTTCCTATTAAGGAGAGTCGTTTTTGGCAATTTTCTACCAATTTAGACATTGACTGTTCAAAAATATTTTTAGTGACTTGTGTATGAGATTGGATTCTACATTGAGTACTGCTGACATAAGATTCATTGAGTACTGCTGACATCAGATTCAGTTCACAGAAAATGAGATATAAAATAATAGGGATAACACTGATAGGGATATAAATAATAGCTAATATAATTGTGAAGATATAGACTATTAAACCAAAATCCTCTTTATGTTTCATAGTCTTTAAGCATGGACACATACAACGCAATTGCACAGAAACCAGTCAAGCTGTAAATTCAACTTCATTTGCAACTCTCAATTCAACTTCTCACAACTGTCACGATCCATGCATACAGTAAAAGCGAACAATATACTGTATTAACTTTTATCGATCCGGAAAGCTGTCAAAAATTGTCAAATGATGACAGTATTGGAACAGTCACCTCCAGATTCGAGATAGCAGATTTTTTTGTCAACAAGGTGTCCTTACAAGTACCAGCTGAATTTCAACCTCTTGATGCTCTTCTGGGTCGAACTTTCACTGAATATGATTCCATAAGTTATGTCCGGCAGAACGATGATTTGGCATTTCTTAGTGAGACTAGTTGCAATTTCCCAGAGTTGAGTAACACACTTTAGATTAGAAAATCGCCCTTATAGCTCAAAAAAGGGTTGCATTCAACCAAACCCAATCATGCTTTCTAACTGCGGCGTTGCTGATGAAGAAGTCTTAGGTTCAGAATCCAGATGAATCGAGACCTGTCACAGAATCACCAGCAGTTGGTAAAAGTATCTTCAGCCATGAAAACATCTATCAGTAGTCAAGAACCCACAACTGACATGTTGGAAGTTGAACATGGAACTGGTGAGGATATAAGTAAACGATCAGCTCCTTCAGATGACACCAAGGATTGAAAAGAACCCAAAGTCAACATCAAGGAAGAACTAAAATACCTGCATCGAAAAAACAAGTATTGACGAAACAAGAAACTGAAGAAGATTCACCAGTTGTAGAACAGTCTGGAGGATCAGAAGAGGCTATAGTGAAAATAAAAACAACCTGCAGACGTTAAGAATGAAGACGTAAAAGACGAATGAAAAGTAAAAAAAAAGGTGCGAAAGATAAGGAAAAAAGGATTCGAAGAAAACAAAGAAAGGCCAAGAGACAATGGCGGGACACAAAAAACTGAAAACTGAATAAGAGCATCTGAAACGAAAAGAGGAGGAACGCATTCGTAATGAAGAGGAGGAAGAGGAGGATGAGATACCTAGAAAAGAAGCTTCGAGGCTGGAAAAGGAACGTGGGTAGGCAAAAAAGCAGAAGAAGAACGAGAGCTCAAGGAGACTGAAAACCGAAGAAAATCTGATAACCTTAAAGTTCAAGGAATGGAGTTGCTCGATGATGGAGAGAAAAAAACCTGGTACCACGGCGAGACTTTCTATGCAACTGCAGTCTCAGCGTCTCCAAAACAAAAGAGGCGATAATTGAAGAGGTGATAATTGAAGAAATAGTAGTACCAATTGAAGTTGTAGAGAAAATAAATGGAAGGAGGGAAGGAAGAAATACCTGAAGTAGGAAGAGCAAACCTCTGAAAGTTAGAGACCTAGAGTAGGAAGTCGCCTTCCAGAATTATTCAAAATGGTTTAGTTTTGTTGAAACGTTGTCTTCTTTTTATTTTCGATTATTTTTTTCTGTTTTTCAGTCATACTAGTTTTCTAGTTCATCAATTGTTTCATTGAATGAGGGTTCACTCAGATTTGTCAGGATAGGCCAAGTTATTGCCTTGGAGCTGGAAGTTCTAGTTTTGTTAATCAGAAAACCAGAGCTAAGATCGTGGTAGACTGTGCGTTAGTTAGTGTATAATGAAGTATTTCCTGGAGCTTTAGTGCTATCCACGCAAGCAACAGCTAACAGGCTTCACTTGTAGGTCTGGCAAGTTCAAGTGAAAGTAAATTTGGGTGCATGGTGCTGAAAGAAAAATATTTTTCACGGCAACTACCACGAACGTGTGTTTTGGACTTTAGAATATTTACCATTTCAGTTATACTGTTCGTAGCAGTATAACTGCTACGAACAGTATAATCGCTCAGAGATAGTTGAAAATTGGAGAATATTTCTGATGGATTAGTGTGTCAAGCATAATTAGACAGCAACCTCAATGAAGAAAGATTGAAAGAGAGAAAAACACATCAAGAAGCCCAAAGGAATGAAAAGTGATGACATATATGAATTTGAAGGTTAATGTCATCATATGGTTATTGATGTTGTCAGTAACCTAACCTAACATTAACCTGAATTTGGTTTGATCGCTTCAATTTGCTGTTGGAGTACAACACAAGTAGCGCGGCATGCAGGACAAAAGAAAAATGACTCTACAGTAAAAGCAATCAGAGGATACAAATCAAGATTCCGAAATTAGCATTTTGTCCAATATGCAATAAACATCGGGGCGATAGACCGTGAAGCGCGTATAGGGGATGTTGGAAGGCTCGTGACGCTATTATGATTTAGTGCTTCACTCTAAATGGAACCAGCTCACCGTGACGACACTCGACAGATTTAATGGCCAGAAATGGGCTCTTTCTCACTGACTGTAGCCGAAGTCGATTCTCCTTTTTTCGATGATAATGAATCATTTTCAAATTGCATTTCGCGAGACGGATGATTGATGGGAGTGAAAATGCGAGGAAACTCGATTGGGAAGTATCTTTGTTAAGATGTTTCACACGCGTGGAATTTCCATGCAGATCTGTCGGCCAATATAGTTTACTAGACTTCATTCCAAACTAGCGTTAGATTCAGTCAATTTCACTATTCATATGACGATGACATAGAGTGTTGCGTGTTTCAAAACGTAATGGTATAAATTGAGAGGAAATAACAATAACGGAAAGTACTATTTTATGTTTATGTATTTCCATACTCTTTTATATTTGTGTGAAACCAGTCAACTTCTTTTCTGGTTATCAGAAAAGTTATCAAGTCCCAAAGTAGGTACTTCTTCATTTCTCTAAGCGCTATTAATCATGTTGTTTTCAACGAGTCAGATATTAGCTATTAGGTGAGCTGAAAAGTGTATAGTGCATAAATTTCACAGCTATCGGACTATTCGTTTATGGGATAGAACATTTTAAGTAAAGGAACTTTTGTTAGTTCGAAGAAAATGGATAGAATAGAATTTTTAGTGTTGATAAATCATTGCTTTTTGGCAAAAAAATACTGTTGAAGCCAGAGTTTGGATTGATATACATTATTCGGACTTGAAAAGGAAAAATACCATCAACAGCGACTTTTACATAGCGTTATTGGAGTATTTGAAAAAAGAAATCACATAAAAACGGCGAAAAAAGAAAGTTCTGTTTCATTATGACGAAGAACCCTGTCACAAATCAATGAAAACGATTGAAAAATTGCACGAATTTGGCTTCGAATTGCACCGTATTCTCCAGATGTGACCCCTAGCGACTTTTTCGAAAATTCATATGACCGCTATCGCCCTCGAAGATNCCAAAAACAGAAAACAAGGTTGTCTTTCGTAGGGGTGCGACAGCTGGTTAAAGGGACAACATATTTCAAAACATTGATTTTATTCCATTCGGACTGTTACAAAACACGTGTAGGTTCGATAAATATCGTGAATACAGTTGCCAGTTCTTATGCACTTCACTTTTACTTTCTTCGAAAAACTGAAATGTTGACTACCTAACTTCAGAGACTTCCTCTCCGATCGCGACAGAGGACGGTTGTGCCGATAACGACCGTCCTCGAAGATGGCACGAAATGAAAAATATTTTGTGAGGACAAGCGCCCTCTACGCCATTAACCAGGCTGGATGTCGACAGATTCGACGAGATCGTCAGTGTGAAAATAGATGTGTTATTTGTGAAAGTCATATTGGGAGGACGGGCGGTTCCTTAGTAAAAAAAGACGTGTTTTCATAAAAGAAAAAGTAAATTAGAAAACTTCATGTGGTAGCGAGCGAGAGAACTGCGCCCTCGGACGAAGCTTCTGTTCATTATGGAAAAGAGGAGTCTGGCCAAATGCGCTCGACCGAAAAGCAACGGCCATATAAATTAAAGAAGAAGAAGCTAACTTCATAGTGTCGGTTTTTCGGTATGCGTGCGCATAGTAAAACGCGCCAAAAAGCATAACTTCAATTGTATATGTCAACTGTCATATGTCACTTGCCAAACAACGTCTACTTGAATCTGAAGTACTTTTTTATTAAATTCACCAAATTCTCCCTAGTTACAAAGAAAACTTACCGTGAACCGCCTGCACCAGACAGAAAGCCATCGGATGTCTCTTATTCTTTTTCCCAGCGGCAGCCTGAGGATTATGTCCGTGTTGTTGTAAGCCCGTAATACTGGCGGATCTCTGAAACAAAGCGCAATAAGTCGTCTGGAAAATAAAAAGCTCTACAACGATCACGTGAATATTCTTTCAGCGTTTGTCGGATTAGAGGAAACATTTGGACTATCGTATGTCTCTCGAGTGAGCGGAATGAGTGTTTATCAAGTCGTGGAAAGTTTAGAATGACACTTTATTGTGAGTTTTCCGGCACAACCAAAACAACTCATGTTGTTGTATTTAGGATATTTTCCTCGTGTGAGGAAAATTTGGATACCCCCAATATTGAGTAAATCATTCACAAACGTCCACTTAATGTAAATTATCTGAGGGACACAGTCAATGACAGATGAAATGATATTTACCGCTGTTATGCGTCTCAAATCAAAGCCTACATTACAATAAATCCTATCTGAAAACCCGTTTTTTGGGTAACAGGATCCTTTAAAAAAAACATGTTTTTTCTTGACAATGTTTCGAATTTAATGAAATTCTTCTTCAGGGATATGTAATAATGAATTTTCATTAACATAGCTTCCACAAAACTTAATATCGTTTCAATTTCACAAGAAATAAGGAGTTCTTAATTGATTGAATTACTCACCGAAAAGTAGTTTTTTGATGTTGATAATATTACCATTAAATACATATTAAAAAAAATAAAGAAAACATTGCAACAACCAAGGTTCCGAGACAACACCAATACAGAACGACATGAAACAATCGAATGGCTTTATCTGTGATTATGATAAGGTGGTTTCTGTTTTTTATTCAATGGCGGAAAGAAAAAGAATGAAAAAGGGTAAATTATTAAGGTATTTTACCTATCAAATTGAAATATGCATTATTAAGGCCATCGATCCCGCCAGTGTCATCAATGCGGCCCGCGACAGCCAATGATTTACTGTCATCAATCTGGCCCGCGACAGCCAATGATTACCAAATTGTTGTTACTATTGCTGTGATAAGTTGAAGAAGAAAACACAGAATGATAATTACTCGGTTTTATTTACTTGCAAGGTAAAACTTAACGACAGAAATGATGTCGTTAAGTGTCACAATACACAATAATAATTGTAAGGCAAAAAAAGCGTAAGTTTGCTTAGGTCACGCACTTTGCGACTATCCTAGTCTAGAAATATAGTTAAGGGCAGAAATTGGCCCTTGGAACAAACTGAAAAAATCATTATAGCCCGAAGGCTTCAAAGTTTGGAGACCCCTGTTCTAGATGATTGCTTTAATGACGTTGTTTCCCCACAATACGCGGCATTGATGTAGCTTTCTTTAGAATTTCATCTGGCACTTTTCCGGATTTTCACTGTGGTTTTTGATTAAAAGTAAAATCCTTTCAACATGTTCCGAGGCGTTGACCACGTCCAAAGCTACAGATTGGAGTACGTTGACAACGGGTTCCATCAAAGCCGAGTATTTGGCTACCAACATAATCCCGAGAATGGAAGAAATTCGTGATGATAATGGCGGCGATTTTGAAAACGGATGTCAAAATCTTAATGTTATTTTGAATATTTCAGTACTTTCTACAATATGCATTAAACCTTGTGAATTTATCTACGTTTTGTCATGTGATGCGGAATTTATCAATAGGTATGGAAGTCAATCGCTCGCACTTTGGTCGCTTTGCGGCTAGCTACATTTGATCTCTAGGGGGGGAAGCAACTGCCCCCCTGCCACCGTTGGCGACACCTTTGTATGATGTGAGCTAGAAAATTATTAATGCAACAAATATTGTTTATGTATATAAGGGCCCAATACTGTACCTTGAGGCACACCAATATAAACTCTTCATGAAGATGTGTAGATCATGCAAAGAAGTTACTTTCAGATAAAAACTAGATGAAAAAGCCCTTCCGAAACAACTACTTTTTTGTAAACATTGAAAATTACACGATATAAATGAAGCAATAAAGACGTACTCGTATGCCGTAGAATGAGAACATGGTCTCCACGCTAATCACATCTTAAACATATTCAAATGGCGATAATTCCTCGTGGGGTTTCATGGGTTTCTCCCAAATATTTAAAGGGAGATCCCAATTATCTTAATAGTAATATCCGTATCCGTTTGATGATTTAAACAGTGAGTGACGACACTCAATAAGGGAGACTTCAGCAGGGGTGCGAGCCGTCCCCTCTTCTTGGGGGTTTTACACTATATTTAATCAACGTGAAAGGGGAAGATGAATGACTGTCATAGCCCCATTTACATTTAAATGGACACACAATGGTTTACGGACAGACAGTTTCTCTTGTTCGGTATCTGATATTCTCGACTGGGACGAGTTATGTGTTTTGTTTCCATTTGTAAATGAGCTTTTCGCTTTTTGATTCGAGTTGAGCAGAAATGGATGGGTGATGTATTCATTCCACCTGAGAAGGTAACTTTTTCAAGGGCAGAAATAACGGGCAAAATTTTGGATAGGCTGCCACAACCGATTTTGAGAAAAATTTGGGTGTACTTTCGTATTTCGACGTTTACATTACGAATCCATATATAGAATACTATACATATAATAGTCTAATCAACAAGTTCAAAAACATGGAAAATAGAGATAAAGGTCCTAAAAATAGGAGCGATAGTTCATTCTATATTAG